GCTACTTCCTGATCCTTCTTTAACCACCCAATGACTTTTTGATCCCCTTCAATTTTAATCTCACTCATGTTCCTAGTTTTTCCTCTCCTTTAAACTGTGAGTGCAGCCCAAGTTTCTGCCTGAGTTGAGTTTCCTGTTCCTAGAGGTCCAAAAAATAACTCTACGATTTTTTTTTTCAGATCAGCAAAGGTAGAATTTATTAAGAATATATTAAAACTGAATGTTACATTGCTGTGAACAAGACCTCTAGGATGTTTCCATTTTTATCCCTGAAAATTCTATCTATACCTGAAGGTTCAGGATTACCCAAGCTGCCATCCATCAAAATTCAACTTTAACCAGCCCAAAGATGGTGGAGACCAACAGACCATAGGCTTAACATTTTGTTGATAAGAGCTTGCCACTTGTGACCAATCCCTAAGGATGTCATCCATTGTGAAATCAGAGAATAAATCCATAGTCTTCACCCAATGCACCACCTTTATTGAGATGTTGTCAATGATTTCTTCTATGTCTCTTTCTTTGTCCAAGAACAATCGAGCATTACTTTATGCACCAGAGAATAACCACCCTAGTGCATTCCAATAGCACCTTCCCTCTTCTCTTTGAAGGGGAGAAAAACGAATTGAGAAATAGGCTCTTCAAACCTACCAGAGGAACCGACCTGAAACCAAAAAGGGAAAGAAAATCTACCAGAGGAATTTTCACTTCCAAAGCCCTGTGGACCCCAGTTTTAGAGAAGGTTGACTCAAAGTTAGCTTCCTAGAAGGCCAGGTATCTGTCTTCTAAGGGTGGGAAGGTAACTCTAATCAAAAGTGTGCTCGCAAGCCTCCCAGCTTATTATATGTCTATTCTCCCAATCCCATCTGAGGTGGCTGATCAAATAGAAAGGAGGATGAGAGACTTTCTGTGGAGCGGTTGGAAGGACTCATCCAATTATCATCTGGTGAGCTGGGATTGGATCTGCAAGCCTGTGTCTTTTGGAGGTTTGGGATGTTTAATAAAGCCCTCTTGGCCAGATGGCTCTGGAGATTTGCTATGGAGCCAATCAATTTTTGGAGGAAGGTCATTGCTGAGAAATATGGTTTGTGTAGCAATGGATGGGATGCAGAAATGTCCCTTTCATCCTACATTTGCAGCTTGTGGAAGGGCATATCAAAGGCCTTCAGTAATTTTAGTGAGGGACTGCTTTTCAAAGTCAGGGATGGGAGGAAGGTGAGGTTCTGGTTGGACTCTTGGTATGGTGATTTTGCTTTAACAGACAAGTTTCCCTCTTTGTTTAACATGGCGGATAACAAACTAGCTTGGGTGGCAGATTGCTATGAGATGAATGGTAGTTCGATTTGCTGGACCACTTCTTGTAAAAGGAGTTTCAACGATTGGGAGATTAATCAAATTTCTGAACTGTTAGATCTACTGCAGAATCAACTTTTGGACGTGCAGATTCAGGACTCCAGACTTTGGAAGTGACTTCTACAGGGGTTTTCATAGTCAAATCTTTTTACAAGAGTCTGGTTGGAGCTTCAAGGAACCCTTTTTCCAGCAAGGCCATTTGGGGTTCAGCTGCACTGTCTGAGGTGAAATTCTTCACTTGGGTGGTTGTCCTGGAGAAGTGTTTGACTAAAGAAATGCTCGAGGAAGGGGTACCTATCTAAGACAGATCATGCGTCTTGTGCAGCAGGGAGGATGAGTCAGTAAGCCATTTGTTCTTACACTGCAGCTTCAGCTCAACTGTGTGGAGACACTTCTCTAGGGCTCTTAATCTGCAATGCTGCTGTCCCTTCTCAGTCAAGGACCTTTTGCAAGAATGGGGCATACAGGTACAGGGTCTGTCAAGGAAAGAGAGTGTGTTGGTCAGCTGTTCTTCTGGCAGTCTTGTGGACCATCTGGTTTTAAAAAAAAAAAAAAGATTTTCAAACAGAAAGCATCACCAGAATCTGTTGTGATTAATAGAAAAATAGGCTCCAAATAGCAGCCACAAAACTACAGGAGATTAATAGATGGGGAGAGTTTTCCCCTTGTACTCTACACAAAAGGCAAATGTGAGGAGAAAGCAGTCACCAGGGTTTGCTTTTTAGGAAATTCTCACAAGTATTAATATTAATATGATATACATCCCAACAGAACAAAAACTTTAATCTTAGGTGGGATTTGACCTTTCCAAATGGCATTAAAGGGACAAGTACCAAAAAATTGAGGTGCTCTACAAAGAACTTGGGAGAAAGAGGCACAAGTAAAGGAACCAAAGGGGGTCAAAATCCAAATTCTTTAATCGATTTTGCTAGTATCAAGGAAAACTTCTTTTAGGGAACTGTAAGTGCAATGACGTTTGGAGCTTCACAATCCCTTAAACCCCTTCTAAGTCCAAGTCCCAATACAAACCAAGGTTGGAAGTACTGACAAAATGGGACACCAAACAATTTTATTTATGGCAAGATTGAAAAGGGAAGGATACAAACTGCTCTCCCCCCCCAAAAAAAGATCTTCCCAAAAAAAGAGTTTTAGAACCCAAATAGACATCATACCTGATGAAAGAAATAAAGAAGGGACTAATAGCTGAGATTGCTTTTCAAGGTGAAGATAAGGAGGTTCTAGCAAGTACACTAGCGTCCCAACCATTGAGAAAAGTCCATGAATGCTTATGACGACCACATGCCATAGTTTGTCTAAATCATTGGGGAATCTCCAAATTCATTTACCCAACAAAGAAGTATTCCTTGGTGTTACTTGTCCAATTGATCAAGTGATCCCTTTTCCTTTCTCCCAAACCCCCTTCCTCCTTACTTTTTGCAAATTGTCTTCCAATTGATCAAGTCAGTGTTTTAAAAGTGCAAGGCGCAAAAAAGGCACAAGGGTCAATTTGCACCTGAGGCGCAAGGCACAAGGCGCACAAATTAAAAGAAAAAAGGCTAAAAAATTAAAAAAACAAATTCAAAAAAATTGCCAAAAAAATCAAAAAATGCAAAAAATCAAATTATTAAACATAATATTAATAAAAATATAAACTTTAATTTTAAAATAAATGTTTTAAAAAACCTATTATCTATTTATCTAATATTAAAATACATAAATATAACATGTAAAGCATATTAAAATGAGAATTTAAAAATAAAATCAAATATATAAAACATTTTCAAGCATATAAAACCCACAATCTCTTTTTTTCTCAATTGCATTACTTCAAGTAGCTAATGTGATGTAAAACATATTACATTCCTGATTCTACAAGTCGCCTTTGTACCACGCCCCTCGAGGCAAGCCCAAACAAGTCCACGCTAGGTCTTAAATTCTTAGTTCTCACACAAAAAATAATGATTTTGTAGTTTTAGTTGCTTTCTAAGAAGACATTTTATTAGGACGAATGAATGAACAACGTTACCAAATAGGGGATTCTCGAAGCTCCGGTGAAGCATCAAAATTTCAAAAGGCGCACGCCTGGGCTGAGGCGCAAGGCGCACGCCTTGAAAGGGCTGTGCCTAGGACTTGGGCGAGGCACCTACTTGAAATGCACCTCGCTTGTGCGCCTAGGCGCGCCTGAGGTGCGTCTTTTAAATCACTGGATCAAGTGATCCTTTTTCTTTTCTCCCAATTCCCAAAGGAAGTCCCTCATGATCTTTTAATCCTTCTTGCCATAGAGAGTGGAATTTTGATTACTGAAAGGTAGTACACTGGGTGGTTGCTAAAGGTGGATTTTATGAATGTGATTCAATCCCCAAGGGAAATATAACTCTTTTCCATGCGACTAGTCTTTTGAAAATCTATCGAGGAAAGGATTCCAAAAATTGGAGAACTTTGGGTTTCCCCTAAAGGCAAATTTAAGTATTTCAAAGGCCAATACAGTTTAGCAGCCCAAGATTTCCACATATCTCCTCAATACACTCTTACATAATCATATTATATATATGATTATGTAAGTACTTTGAGGCTTACGCCTCACCTCTTAGATGTCCAACCATCATGCCCCCACCTTCAGCCTTTTAAAACCTTGGCCTCCATAGCTTGATTTACTCCAATCTTAATGTCATTAAATTTGACTTTGATAGAGAAAATAAGAACTCTTAGAAAAAAGGATCACCACCTAACCTAAAGAGAAAGTAAGAACTCTTTAAGAAAAATATCTTTCTCAAAAATAGAGTCCAATAGTTACTACAGAGCAAGTCTAAACAAAGCATAGGTCTAGATCAAGGTACAGAGGTGGAAGGGATTAGGCCCTGGAGATTAAACAAAAAAGGTCCTTGGTTGTTTGGGAACCGGTGTCTTTGGCTGTTCCACTCGAACTCCCAAATCAATTGTAGATAGAAGGAAGAGTTAGAATTATCATTATACAGACTCCAAAAAAATTGATAACTCTAGCCAACATCTACATTGCCCAAGAATCAATCTACATGCCTAAAGAACCGTGCAAACTATACGGAAAATGCATGTTTTATTACTTTGACATAAGTTTAACTAAGAATGAGTACTTGAGAATTAAGCCTTTTAAAATGATAATTTAATTGCTGTAAGGTATGGCACATTAAGTAATACTACTAGAACTATATTAAATAATGTATAATCACAATGATTCAATTGAAACATAACGAACTCATGATTACACTGGTAACAGGTAAGCTATTAACAAAAAATTGAGTATGAAGTAATGTTTTGAGCTACTTTAAGCAAGGATTTGACTAGTAAAAACACGCTAATTGGCACATAAATCACTACAAACATGTAGGGTAGTGTATGAACATGAAGATCAAGCTCAAACAATCATAGACGGATAACTAGATTGAACCAAACATATACCTCGGACATAATAGAACAGCTTGGAAGAGTAGTTGGGTAGTTGTGTTTGACCATAAAAATCTATTGTTTTAAACGGGAAAAACAATATGTATAAAGCTTTTTAAATTCTATATATGGAACCCCTACAGATTTCAAAACTTCTCCTTAAAACATGTAAAGAAATAGCTTTTTATTGCACGGTGAGAACAGAGAAGCATTAACATCAAACATACATGAGGATCACGTGTCGGCACCCTCCGAGCCCTTTGCTGCAAAAGGATCATGCGTGGGACCAATATCCTGCCCAATATGGCGTTGCACCAACCGCTGCAGGTCAGCCATAACCTTGTGTTCACGTTTCGCCTTCTCCTCATAGTTGAACATTGCCAATGCCCGCTTGTCCTAGCACTGTACACCTGGTTTTCTTTTCTGATACGGATGGCATTCATTCTTTGATGTCTACTACCACTCATCACAAAGCCGAGGCTCTCAAACTTCTGGATTTCCTCAGCTGAAAGACCCACTTCTCCTCTTCGAGGAATACGCTTCCCTTGTTGCACATACTGAGCAATCGCATCACCTTCACCCGGCCTCAGAGCCCCTCCATAGCTAATATGCCCTTCGGCCCTTGGAAGAGGCACAGGTCCCACAAAGGCTTCATTATCCAAAGCAGGTTTCTTTTGTGACCCAATCATCTCTTTAAACATACGAGCCTCAGCATTGATCTCAGCATTCTTTGCGTCATCTGCTTTTGCATTGTTCTTAGTCTTATTCTCCGAATCGGAACTCTCGGTGGAACTCTCACTTATCGATTCAGACCTTCTCGTTTCCCTGCTTCTTTTTGTACGAGAAGACGACTTAACTCGTCTCTTCTTCCTGGATCTCGTGTGATCATCAGAGGACCGGCTTGAATAAGAATGATCACTTCCACTCTCCTCACTCAGGCTCCCATCAAATTCACTGCTCTTACTCCTTGTCCTTCTCTTACTGCTGTACCTGCTGCTCTTTTTCCATCGCCTATTCTTCCTTCTTTGTGACTTCTTCCTATCTCTACTGCCTTCGTCACTGGAATAGTCAGAGCTCTCAGTATCACTGATGTCCTCATCCGATTCCGTATCATTATCGGATTTCCTACTTCTACGCCGCCTAGAAGTTGAAGATTTAATTTTCCGCCTATCAGTCTTACCTCTCCTTCCCTTCTTTCTCCTCGATGTCGAACTGTCAGTATCTGACTCAGAATCAGATTCCGTCTCAGAAGAACCACTCCGAGATTCTTCAGGTTCAGAACGCACACCGCGATCAATGACATTTTCCTGATCTCCATCTCTATATTGATTGTCATCTGCAGTTTCCTTCACTTCATCTGGTGGCTCCGACTGCTCCCTTTCACTCCGAGGAGGGCTAGGAGTTACATTCCAAATACAGTTTTTCAGACTCTTTCTCAATTTCTGACGTTTAAGCCGCCGATACTCTTCGTAGCTCAAGCCCTTTAACTCCTCATCAGAATCTGAGTCCGAGAAACGTCCATTCCTAAAACCTCTATCGAGAAATGGTGCGTCATGATCCTTGTGATCGCTACGGTCGAATCGTCGGCCATCTCGGGACAAGCTACAGACCCAGGGCTTCTCCTAGGGTTCGAATGACCATTCGACACTGCTCGATCATGACGGCGATCTGGTTCATAACGAGACCTTCTATAACAATTGACAGGACTACGGCTACGACGATCGTCGGAATAGTACCGAGGAGATGAAGACCTAGATGAATCCGGCGAGTGGCGATCATTTTCTCGGTCGGCGGCGCGATGTCTCTCTGGGATTTCCACCGTCGACGAGGGCCTTGAGTCCCGCCTTCCCGCTAAACCGTCACTATCTCTCGCGCCCATTGTGGATTAGGGATGATTATTGAAAGGCGAGTCACGAGGGTCTAAATGCGCTAAATTCGGTTATTTTATTGACCTGTTCATGGGCTGGGTCCATTCAAATTTTGGGAACAGCCCGGCCCAGACCGGCCCATGAACAGGTTATAATCAATTCAGGGTCCGTTTGGTTGGTAGGAATGGGATTCAGATTCCTATTCTTGGCAAAATGAAATTTTCCCATATGGAGGAATGGCCATTCCAGGCCCCCTAGAGAATGGGATTCCAATTTCTAAGTAAATATCTCACGACAAAAAACCCCAAACCCTAATATGAATAAGATAATAAAATACTATTAAATTAATAATAAAATAAATACTTAATGTACCCTTATGGTTTAGTAAATGGAACAAAAAACACCCTATTCTTTGAAAATTTTCTTAAAATAACCCTTGAATTTTCTGAAAATGGACATCGTGTTAAATATTGACAGAAAAAAAGTGAAATATTGAATTTTTTCATGATAAAAACCCAACTGATAAAAGGCATGATTATGTCCATTCCGATGTTGATCACCTCTATTTCAGATGAAACATTGTTGTTGTTGTGGGGACAACACTATTTCTGAAATGGAAAGGGGTTTGCAGATAATGCAGCATCTTTGGTGTGAATGTAAAGATTAATTGTTATCCCAAAAGTGAGATAACAACATCAGCAGATGAGAATATGGTGAAATTTCATAGAAGTTCAAGTATGGATGTTGATAAGTTAAGAAGGTCTGTTAGGGTAACTAGGAAGAATCCGAGATAAATGGAGTGATGCTGAACATTTGGACGTGTTTCTGTTTCAGTTTTTGTTTGTTCCTTTAATTGCTTTAGAATGGGTCAATAACTGGTTGGAGAATATCTCGGCCAAATAGCTTGTTATTTGGTTGGAGAATATCTCAGCCAAGTAGTTTGTTATTCTGTTAGTTTGTTAATCCCTTAATTAGGGGATATTGTTGTTAGTTTGTTAATCCCTTCATTAGGGGGTAACTTCTTGGTAGGCAGTTAAGAATTCCTTGTATTTAAACACCACCCAACCAGCTGGGAGGGGGCGTTGAAGTTGAATAAAAATCTTGTGGTTTGTTTTCACCCCAAGAAGAGCGTTTTACACGTTGCTGCTAGCTGAGACCTATCATTGGTATCAGAGCTAAGTTTTCATAGCAACTAACAAGGAGAGGATCGAGACTTTGGAAACAGGTCTTGGGGGACTTCAGAATAGCTTCAGTCGAATGGAAGAGAGTATGTCAGACAGATTACACCGATTGGAGGATACCATCAACAAGTTGTCTGAAGTTATATTCTCTAGTAAAGGGACTGGAGTTAGCAACAATCCTGAGATATCGTCTTCAAAGGTTCGTAGCCGCAGCGTTGGAGAGGAGATTCACGATAATTTAGATGAAGGATGGCCTCTGTTTGCAGCGAAACCCGTCAAAGTAGAATTTCCTCAATTTTCAGGTGAGGATCCAACGGTTTTGTGTGCAAGAGCCGAACAATATTTTGATTTTCATATTACCTCGGATTCACAGAAGGTTCCCTTAGCCTCTTTTCATCTGGAAGGCGAAGCTAATGAATGGTGGCAATGGCTGAAATGGGCCTACAAGGAAGAGGGCAAGGCAGTGACATGGGAGAAATTTATAGAAGAATTATGGGCCCGATTTGGTCCTACTAACTCTAAAGACTTCGACGAAGCATTGTCAAAGATCAAGCAAACGGGATCCTTACGTGATTACCAGAAAAAATTTGAAAGGTTGGGCAACCGTGTGCAAGGCTGGACGTAGAAAGCTCTAGTGGGAACATTCACGGGAGGACTAAGGGCCAATATAGCAGATGGAATTCGTATGTTTAAACCTCGTTGCTTGAAGAACGCTATCAGCCTAGCACGAATGAGAGACGAGCAGCTAGCTCATTACCGGAAGCTCCCCAAGCTAATCAATCAGCCCATCACTGAGGTATCATCATCTGTGAAAACCAAGCAACCTTTACCTACTGAGAGGCTTTCTTGGGAGGAAATGCAAAAACGACGAGTTCGTGGCTTGTGTTTTAACTGTGATGAAAGGTTTACATCGGGGCATAAATGCCAGGGGCCAAAACTGTTGTTACTTGAAGTAGGATCGAGTGATACGGATGAGGACAAGAAGGACGACTTTAACTTCCAAGAGGAAGAGGCACCAGAAATTTCTCTACATGCTCTCATAGGATGGGTTGCAAATCGGACCATGAGGGTTAAAGCCAAGATAGGATCGCAGGAGGTGATAGTTCTCATAGATAGTGGATCCACACATAATTTTATCAATGATAAGGTGGCGGGGCTTTTACAGTTGTCAGTGGTTCCCACTAAGCCGTTTACAGTAAAGGTAGCTAATGGGAAGACTTTAACATGCCATGGCAGATTTGAGAACGTGAAAATCCTCCTACAAGGTATACCCTTCACCTTGACTCTTTATGCATTGCCACTAATGGGTTTGGACGTGGTCCTAGGAGTCCAATGGCTAGAGCTCTTGGGCATGGTGGTTTGCGACTGGAGAAAGATGTCCATGGAGTTTTAATGGAAGGGAAATTACCACCAATTACATGGGATGGATGCCCCTCCAATTCAAGCCACGTCATTTAAATCCATCTCGAAGTAGTCCCGCCAAGGATGTTCCATGTTCGCAGTCTGCTTCCAGCCCTCACCCGATACACAGGCACCTGAGATTCAAGAGGACATGCAGCAGTTGCTGAATCGTTTGAAGATATTTTTTAAGAGCCAAAACAGCTACCGCCAGCAAAAGAGATTGAACATCGCATCACCCTCAAGGAATGTACCGAACCCATTAATGTTCGACCTTACAGGTATGCCTATTTTCAAAAAGCCAAAATTGAAAAACAAGTTCATGACATGCTAAGATTGGGGCTAATCAGACCTAGTAAAAGTCCATTTTCATCTCATGTTTTATTAGTTAAAAAGAAAGATGGTTCCTGGCACTTTTGTACTGATTACAGGGCTCTCAATGCGATGACCATAAAGGATCGATTTCCCATCCCCACCATTGATGACATGTTAGATGAACTACATGGGGCAGCCTTCTTCACTAAATTGGATTTATGGTTCAGTTATCACCAGGTACGGGTGCACCCATCCGACATTCATAAAACCGCATTTCATACTCACAATGGCCATTATGAATATCTAGTTATGCCTTTCGGCTTATGTAATGCGCCCTCAACTTTTCAATCTCTCATGAATTCTATTTTTCGCCCGTACCTACGAAAATTCATTTTAGTCTTTTTTGATGACATATTAATCTATAACCCCAATTGGACCATGCACCTCGAACATGTTAAAATGGTTTTCGAAATATTAAGGCATCATAGATTCTTTATCAAGCTCCGCAAGTGCGTGTTTGGCCAACAAGAAATTGAGTATTTGGGCCACACTGTCACTTCACTTGGCGTTAAGGTGGACCAGGAAAAAATCCAAGCCATGTTAAAGTGGCCAACTCCTACTAATGTTTCCAAGTTGCGTGGTTTTCTAGGCCTCACAAGTTATTACAAGAAGTTCGTTTGCAACTATGGAATCATTGCTCGGCCATTGACAAATCTGTTAAAAAAGGGAAAATTCGAATGGACACCAGAAGCGGAGGCAACGTTTAATAATTTGAAGCGGGCCATGACTACAACACCTACACTTGCAATGCCCGATTTTGACCAGCCATTCGTGATTGAAGTAGATGCCTCAAGTAGAGGAATTGGGGCGGTCCTAATGCAGCAAAACATGCCATTTGCTTTCATGAGTCGAGCCCTTGGGGTTTCCAAACAATCGTGGTCCATTTATGCAAAAGAGATGCTTGCCATTCTTGAAGCCATTATAACTTGGCATCATTACCTTCTTGGTTGCAAGTTCTATATCCATACAAACTAAAAAAGTCTCAAATATCTTTTGGAACAACGAATAGCCACTCCGGAGTAACAAAAATGGATGGCTAAGTTGTTGGGATATGATTATGAAATTGTCTATAAGTCGGGTCATGAAAATGCAGCTGCAGATGCATTGTCCAGAGTAGAAGGAAGTCCCTATCTTGACACCTTGTTCGTGCCTCATACCTCTTTGTGGGAAGCTATCAAAAGCGAGGCCATCGAACATCCTTACATGATCAAATTTGGCAAGCTTGCGAAGGAAAATCCTGGTGAACCGTATAAATGGCGAAATGGATTAGTATGCTACAAAGGCAGAGTTGTAATCCCTCCAAATTCGAACACCATCTCTCAACTCTTATATGAATTCCATGACTCACCCCTTGGTGGACACTCAGGTACCCTGCGAACTTTCTGGCAGCTAGCTCAACAATTCTACTAGCCATCGATGCATAAAATTATCAAGGAGTATGTGGTTGCATGTGACATTTGCCATAGAAATAAAGCAACCACACAATCACCAGCTGGTCTCCTTCAACCCCTACCCATTCCATGCCAAGTGTGGGAGGATATCACAATGGATTTCATAGAGGGCTTGTTGACTTCTAATGGATTCAATACAATCCTGGTTGTCATCGATCGCTTGACAAAGTATGCGCATTTCTTGCCGTTAGCGCACCCCTTCATTGCCAAGATAGTAGCTGCAAAATTCATTGAAGGAGTGATCAAGCTGCATGGAATACCAAGGTCGATCATTAGTGACCGTGACCCCATCTTCATAAGCAATTTTTGGAAGTAATTCTTCATGCTGTCAGGAACCCAACTCAACATGAGCTCCTCCTACCACCCACAAACCGACGGACAATCCAAGGTATTAAACCGATGTCTCGAACAATATCTTAAATGTTTCACATCTCAACATCCATGCAAGTGGACTTTCTTCCTTCCGTGGGCGGAGTATTGGTACAATACCACCTACCATATATCCACTGGAATGACACCTTTCCAAGCACTTTATGGAAGATTGCCACCCAACATTCCCCACTATGAAGTCGGGTCGTTAGCAGTCAACGAAGTTGATCAAACACT